TCATAGATTGAAGTGTTGCTTCTGCGAGATTTTAGATCGTTGTATTCTATGAGATGGATGCCCATTCAAACTCGTGAGCCGGCAAAGGGCGAAATTCGTCTTAAGAAAATTGTGTCAAACACAAGCTTCAATCAAACTGTTTTTGGTTCTATATTTTTGCAATCTATTTGTAAGTTTTCTACTTCTCTATAAGTATTTTGGTTTGGCTTTACCGAAACAAATTATGTTGTTTTCAACTTATATTTTTATATAATTTGATTATATATTTGGTATGATCATTACATGTTTCACACAGTACACAAAAGGTTTTTTTCCAACATATAGCATGTCTACTTTTTCTTTAATTTTTTTTATATGTGAAAGTGTTATTTTGTAGACTTAAGCTATGCACGTGGAAACTTTTATATTTTATAAATTGTTATTTGTATTCTTGCTTTGTTCTCTTATTGTGTTTGAGTTTTACCCATTTGATTTTTCTACGGTAGATATCATGACACTTGATAAGCAACTTCAGAACTACATTATGTTAGCAATGAATTTTCTGAGTTCAAAGGAATTAGTGACGTTAATAGAAAGTTGGTAGAGGCAAAGAAAGATTTTGTATATCCGTTAATCTATTTTCTTGTGAAATTGGCGTTAATTTTATCAGTCATAATTGAAATGGTGGAAAGAGCATTTTCAGTGATGAAATTCATAAAGAATCAATTGCTTAACTGAATGGAAGATCAATAGTGTTATAAAATGAGACCTTAATACCTAAATCATTAACGGTTAGACTTCTTTCATATTCACATATCAATATGTAATTAAATGATCTTCTTACGTATCAAGGACATGCATTTAAAACTAGGGGTATTTAGTCTAACATTATCTCCAACTTTTAGTAATGAGAGATGTCCATAATATATATATATATATATATATATATTTTTGTAGCCTAAGGTCCTTCACTCGTTTATGAGTTTGTATCTCACCCACACCCATTTATCACACTCTTTTTCTCAATCTACGCAGACCATGGCTAAACATTTCCTCATCTTCTCTCTCTCTCTCTCTCTCTCTCTCTCTCTCTCTCTCTTCCATCTTCCCTCTCTTCTCTTCAAACCCAAACCCTAACCCTAACCCTAACCCTGACCCATCGTTAAAGTCACCACTGCTAACTATCCACACGGAGCTCACTAACTACGACTTCCCCGTTGGGATCCTTATACCAACGTTCTTAATTAGAGCATCAATGCCACTTTTGACGACTTCGTCGTTCATCTCGACAAAAATTGGACAATCGGCCTTGCCTTAGCAAGCTGTTCATGTTTGCCTTAGCAAGCTGTTCATGCCTTGACAAGAGTCTAACTCGGCGTTTGCGTCTTGCACAAGTACTTGTTCTTCAAACTCGGCACCTTGATCAATGCCCTACTCAGCCTTGCAATCACTATCGTCAACTTGCTTATTGGTCGATGACTCCCCAAGTCCGATATCCCATAGATTAGAAAAACTTGGAGACATGAGAGCCACAAGATGCTGTTTGCCTCTCGAAATGGGGATATGCTCGACCACCGTAAACATTGTGTAAGATGGGTCGCATGTGAGCAAGATATAGGTGGCCCGACTATAACAACCCCGACCTATGATTAGCCGATAAATCATGATTAATTATGCCTAATAAGTAATTACGATGAAATTCTGAATTAATTTCATGTGTATGGCATTATTTGTGTTTATATCTGTCTACTTAATATGTCTATTATCTGTTACCCGTATTGGAGGCTCAATTATGAAGCTCAGCATATCTGTTATTTGTTACTCGGATCTGGAGGTTCCTTTATGGAATTGGTTATACATAACTACCATCTGTTCTGTATCTCTCTGTATCTGTTCTGTTATCGCTAATGGATGTACCACATATGATTAAGTATGAACTCGTATTTTTGTATAAGAGTATGTATCTGTTTTTTATATGAACTCTGTTTTCCGAATCAAATATGGGACATCATTCAATTAAAACCTTTTACTCTGTTATTATTCACTGGGCTTTCGTTCACTCTATTATTTATGTATGTAGGTGACCAAGCACGTGACCAGGCTCAGAGTTAATAACCTAGAGTTTTGGTTTGTTAGCCTGCCTTTGCGCTTCCCGAGGAGGTTTCAAATGTCAAGTGGTGATATTTTGAGAACATATATAAGACTTTGTTTTCTTTCTAGAATACGTACAATTTTTCTGTTTATCTGTATATTGGGCTAAGACCCCTTTTGGTTATATCTGTAATGAATGTGATGTAAGACTACTATATTTATGACGTCACATACATATATACAAAGTTTTGAAATTTCTGTCAAATATATGTCTACATAGTTCAATGGACTATGTATGTTTCTATATTTGCTTCTGCTAGCCTCTTATAATTCGCTAATCAGGTCAGAGGCCTTCGGTAATCCAAGGATTACTGACCGATCACGACGCTAAACCTGTAGGGGCGGGTTTGGGTTGTGACACCAACCTTGTCCTTGCAGATTTGGCCGACCAACAAAGTCCATAATAGTTTTAACTTAGGCAAACACAACCTCATTTGCGGATGTGAGAGACTTTTTGAGATCACTGCCCGTACGAGAGAGAGAGAGAGACGGTTAGTATGATGAATGAAGGCTGAATAAAAACATAAATCGACATGAAATAGTCGGCGACCTGGTTTGCCCTCACGTCTAGGCACAAGAGTTAGGCGATATTCTCCCTCGCCAAACTTCCAATTGCCTCCAACGGCAACCATTACGTCATCCACTCTTTTTCCAGAGCTAGCAAGCATAGTGACTAGATGGTGATTGGTATCCTTTCCTCTAAAACAATATCATTCTTGCCAACCAGAAGATTTGGCAAGGACGTAGCCATGCCAAATGGTAGGAATTAGTAGGTCGAGATGGAGATGGCGATTTAACTCTACAATGCCCATTATGATTCAGTAAAGTTCACGTTTGGCTGGGAAGGAATCAAACCCCAATAACGCAAGACATACCTAAGGGTAGGATGAAGGGGGAAATGTACGCCTCCCTTGGCAATCGCCAAAAGAGGGAAAACAATCACTTTGCTTGGTTCCCATTTTTTAAAAACAGTTTTCATAAAATTCTACACTCTTATTTTCCGTGTTTTTTTGTTTTTATTGAATTTTTTAAATATTTTATGCAAATTTTTTACTTTTTTGACACACCTAACATAAATATACCTAAACAATAAAAAAAATTGTAAAAAAAAATCTTTTAAAAATTCACTAAATACCAAAAATACAAGAATTTAGTACATTTTTTGTATTTTTATGTATTTCTTAATTTTTTAAAATATTTTTTCACAATTTTTTTACTTTTTAGATACATCTAAGTAAGGTGCATCTAAAAAAGTAAAAAAAATGTTTAAAATTTTAAAAATATTCACTAAAAACAAAAAAACACGAAAATAAAAAAACTCAGTTTTCAAAAAACTTAATCCAGAAAACTCAAACCAAACACAGTGAATGGTATTTACATCAGTCCTTTCTATGTCAACCTCTTTGTTTTCGACAAGGGATAACTGAACGTCGTCGGGGATACAAAAGTGATGACAAAAATCTACAATTCTATCCTTAGAAAGAAAGGCCTTTAAATGATTCGCCATGGGAGGATTGAAATAGAAGACGGAGAGGAGAAGAAACATAAAGGACCGAAAATGCAAAAGAAAAGAGAGAATGGAGCTTAGAAAACTTACAGATGGAAATAAAAAGATCATGAGCATTGGAAGGAGCAGAACAGTTGCAGATGAGGTCCTGAAGTTAAGGGATTACAAGTGCTTAGCAAAAAATGAAATCCCACATGAAACGGAAAATTAGAAGGATTTCAAATCGCATTAAATAAAGAGTACGAATAGGCAGGAAACAATAATCATTCTCACCACGTCTTTTCTGATGCCAGTATCGAAAGGGCACGTTCGATGCATTCCCATATTCCGAAGCGCCTCAAATGTCAAAATGAAAGGTGAATTAATCTCTCGCCGACCAAGTATGCCGACCACTCGAAATCATGAGGAGCCGAATACTCAGAGGGCAATTGTGGAAGTCGAAAATATGACAAAAGCCAAGAGCAAACTCGGCCCAACCAAGTCCAATCCAGCTCGGCCCAATTCCAGATCGGCCTACTGGGCCAATATATTAGGCTGAGTAAAGACCGAATAAACATCACTGGAGAAAATGGTTGTCGAGTTACGAATATCCTCTCTAGGTGACATAGCCGAGTAATTTATATAAATCGGCATTGACCCATTGAGTGAGTCGACATCTTTCATAGAGCGAAATGGGGAAGTGGGCCCTGACAAAGAAAGTAATGAGGGCATGCATTGTATGGAATAGAAACCCAAATGAGAGACTTTATAAAAGAGTGAGGGGTTATGTTCTTATAACTCTCTTATTTAACACAAAAGCAATAGACTCACCTCTAAAAAAAACTAACTAGCCCATCGAAATGCTAATTCTGACACTCCCGACCGAAGCTGTTCTTCTGTTTCAGGTGACATTAAAAGGAGTTCTCAAGGACTTGTTTGGCAGAAGGAGTATCTCAAATTCACCTCCCCACAGTTATAATCAAAGACTTTTTTTATCATAATAATAATGACATAACTAACATCACAATAAATCATAACAAATATTATAATATAAATAACCAAATTATAATAAAATCTACTGCCACCATAATAAATCGTAATTAAAAAAATACAAACATCACAAATGATATACCCTAAAACAAGGTTGTTAAGATCGGGATCCTACATAGGATCGTTTTGGGGGTCTGGAGGATCGGATCGGGGATCGTAAGATCCTACTAAAACGATGAAAAAATGCAATAATTCTTATATGTCTAACTAATACTATCAAAATACATATAAAATGACCCAAAAAAACTTGAGAATGTAGCTCAAATGGTAGAGCTCTCATACTTATGAGCAGATCGAGGTTCAAATCCTCGCATTCTCACTTGTGCACTAACAATAATCAATTCAAATATACATTTTGCACATTTTTTTAAACAAAGAAAACATAATAAAAAAAGGTGGCAATTGAAGTTGTCATTCAAACATTTTCCTCAAATCTTAACAAAAGAACATACTAAAAGAAAATAGCAATTCAACTTCAAGTCTTCAAGTTAACACTTGCACAACATTGATATCCTTAACAAAACAAACTAAAATAAGAGAAGAATAAATAAACAAGAGGCTAAAACAAGTCATCATCTTCATCGCCGAAATCATCATTGCCACAATCAACAACATTGTTGATCTCATTGTCTCCCTCATCTTCATCATCACCCACAGTGTCACCCAACTCCTCAATGTCATCATCACCAATAGTAGCATCATCAAAGTCATCATCAAAATCCCTTGGAGCATTCATGTTGTCATCCATATCATCATCATCACTTACTTCATGAATTTCATCGACATTTTCTCCAATATGGTCACGGCCTAAGTTGAAGAAAAAAAAAATCCAAATTAAATCCAAATTGCAACTTCTAATTAAAATTAAAAGATGTATCATGTACTTAGACTTACATGCTTGTTCCAAATCCCTTGCAAGAGCATCTACTTCTTCATCTTCTGAATCGCATCCATGTCGAGCATTCCTATCAAGCACATGCAACCAATTTCCTTCTCTTGGAAGAGTCGGATTCTCTTTCTCTGTTATCCACTCATCGTCTGATAGAACATCATCCAAACATAATGGATTCATGATTGATTGTCTATTCTTGTGCCTTTGTCTCAGTTTCAAATTGTACATCACAAAGACCAAGTCATTCATTCTCTTTTGGTGTAAACGATTCATCCGCTTTGAGTGTACCATCTCAAAAGCACTCCAATTGCGCTCACACCCCGATGAACTGCATGTTAGACTTAATACCCTGATTGCAAACCTCTTCAACTCGGGACATTCATCACCAAAAGAGTCCCACCAATCCCCTACATCGAAATTTTAATTAAGTAGTTCAAAATTTAAAGTTCTTCAAAACAAATAATCATAACATAAGATTGATAGATACAACTTACAAATCAACTTAGGGTAAAAATAAATAACCTGGAGATTTCTTTTTTCTAGTCAAGATTGCATTTTGTATACCAAAGAGTCCTCTTGCATTCTTGAATGCATCAATTTGCAAATCTATCTTCACCCTCTCATTAGTGTCAGGGACCATTTTTTCAAGACATTTGTACAACCCAATTTTAATCTCTGCATCAGCTTGAAAATTGGGACTATAATGAAGCTGAGGGTTCAATAAGTATGCTGCAGCATGCAATGGGTGATGGAGTTGGGTTTCTCATCTTCTATCAATGATGGCCCATACAGGATCATAGCTGACACAATTTAATAAATATTATTAATGAATAAATAAATAGTTTATGGAAATAGTATTAAAGAGTAAATAAATAGCCAACACTAAATAAAAAGTTTACCATCTTAGGACATTATTGAAATTCTTTTGAATTTCCTCTTTCGCACGATCCATTGCTTCATAAATGAATCCCATTGCCGGATGCTCATATGAATCCACCAACCTAAGTACCTTAATGAGAGGTACTGCAGCCTTCAAGCAGGTAGAAACACCCTTCCAAAAATATCGATTGTCCAAAACAATATTTTCAATTTTTTTCCCCTTTTCAGACTTCGCAAATCTACTATTCCTCCACTTGTTTGATGTAAATAGAGAGAACAATGCACCTTTTTGCTCATGAAGACGTCTCAATGTCAAGTAAGAGGTAGCAAACCGAGTTACCGCAGGCCTTATAAGTTCAATGTCTTTTGTAAACTCCTTCATCTAATGAATAAGATTGGTTCTTGAATAAATGTATGCCACAATCTTTTTTCCTTTACCAATTGTAACACGATGAACTTGTATTTCCTTCTCAAAATCTTCTAACATCAAATCTATGCAATGGGCGGCACAAGGAGTCCAAAACAAGCCTTTTCTTTTATCCATTAACATTTGTCCCGCCAATTTATAATTAGAAGCATTGTCAGTTACAACTTGTACAACATTTTCTTCTCCAACCTTCTCAACAACCTCATCTAACATCTCAAAAACCTTTTCACCCGTTTTTGAAATGTCGGATGTATCTAGTGATGACAAGAAAATAGTTCCATTAGGGCTATTCACAAGAAAATTACATATGGATCTTCTCTTTCTATCTGACCATCCATCCGACATAATTGTACATCCGGTCTTCTTCCATTGTTCCTTAAACTCATCAACCAATTGTAGTGTCTCATGCACTTCTTTTTTTAAAAATGTCACCCTAATTTCATGGTAAGATGGTGGCACAAGTCCTTTTCCATAATCCCCAATCTTCTTAACCATGAGTGGAAATATAGGGTTGTTCACACAATTAAAAGGAATTGCACTAGTGTAAAAAAAACGAGCTATGGTTTGACAAACATCATCTCTCTCTTCTTTCTTAAACATTTGATTGAGAGTTTTTTGATTTTGACGTCCAGATTTCTTCATCACAAATTTATCTATGGCACCCACCCGTTTTTGTTTGTTTTGATGATGATATGCTAATAGTTCCACCTCCTCTTCAGAATCATCACCAACATCAAACATCTTTCTCTTTTTATTTTGAGACTCTAATGTTTGAGTTCTTAAAAGACTCATGAACTTTCCTCTAACATCTTCTGGGACTTGAGGACATGGCTCAACATTTTGATGAGTACAAGCTAAATGATGTTTTAATCTATATATACCTCCCGATCGAGTCACATTACAATACTTGCATTGTACCTTTTTGGTTGCAGCATCTATTTCAATTCCATGTTCCCAACCAGGATCCGTTCGGTTACCCGCAACATTTTTCCTCTTCCTCCCTCTTCCAGAACCAGAGGCAGACATTGTTAACTCAATTGACAAACCTACAATCATATATTGAATATCACTGAATCAATTGACTACAATTTACAATTTGATAGTTGTGAAATATCAGAGAGAAAAAAGTCAAGTTACAGTAAAAAATAAATTGATTACAATAGTAATACCATGATGCCCTACAAAGGCCTCATTGAAATTATAGATAAGGATAAATTAGAATTTAGAAGTTAATTTACAAATTACAAATTACAAACATTGAATCAATCAACTGTTACCAACATGAACACTACGTAATCTAAAGTCATGTTACAAATTACAATTACAAATTAATTGAGAACAAACCTGTATGAAATGAAGCTGCATTTTTCCTTGGTGGTACACTGGTATCTGCACACTTTTCCTTGGTGCTATCTGCAAAATAAATTACAAGTTAAAAATTAATTTAATTAGGTTGACAGGAAAATGGAAAAATGGAAGAAGGGGAAAAATGGAAGACGAAGTGGAAAATGGGGAAAAAAATGAGAATGAAAGACAGAAAAATGGAAGAAGAGGGGAAAAAAAGGCAGTAGCAGAGGAAAAAGAAGATGGAGGAGAAGAAGAAAAGGAGTCGAAGAAGACAAACAGAGGAGAAGAAGGAGTCGAACAGAGGAGAAGAGAAGGACTCGAAGCACAGAAAAGAAGAGAAGAATGAGTCGAACAGAGAAGAAGAAGAAGAAGAAGAAGAAGAAGAAGAAGAAGAAGAAGAAAAGACGAAGCAGACGAAGCATACCTGGAGCTGGAATCTGGATGGAGGCTGGATGGAGGCTGCTCAGCGATTTTCCTCCAATATTTTGCCCTAATCTTATGTCGTAAGTGTTTAGAACAGAGAGAAGGTGCATCAAACCTGTAATAAAAATATCAGAAAAAGGCCAAAAGTAGGATCGTATAGGATCGCGATCCAAATACGATCCTACGATCCCATTAACGATCTTAACGATCCTGTTCCGATCCTGAGCAAAATACGATTCAGCATGCGATTTGGATCGATTCTCTAAAAATGGATCGTAGGATACGATCTAGATCGCGATTTTAACAACCTTGCCCTAAAAGAGAACGTGTATCACAGAACTTTCCAATTATTTATTTACTTTATTGGCAAATACTCCACCAAGAGGCGGCAATGTAGGTGTGCTCGTTGGGAGATTTTTTTTTTTTTTTTTTAAGGTGATACTATATGTATTAATTAATATATATATTAGTCTATTAATTATTATTATACTATTACTACTGACCCCACCTATTATACAAATTATAAATACTTAAAACGTTTAAAATTATGTCACACCATCTATTAGTATACTAATTAGTACATATAACATTATTTTTTCTTTTTTTTATAATGCTAAACTGCGATCAGCCTTCGCCGAATCCGGATCCTCCGTCGCCCTTTCCTGCGGGGCGTCCCTGTCGCCCTCCAAAACGACGTCGTTTTGGAGGGTTTTTTTTTTTTCCCTTCTTCTTCTTTCTCTCTCACTGATAACTCTCTCTCTCTCTCACTGCGGCGCATCCCTCTTCCGGCCTGGGACCAAAAAAAGATTAAGAAAAACAAGATTTTGTTGATCAACAAAATCCATTTCAAATCCATTTCAAACCAATCAAGATTTTGTTGATCAACATCAATAAGGAAGAAGGAGCTGCGTTGCAGGGTTAACATCAACAAAAAAAAAAAAAAAAATATCTACAAATCTAATTCAGAAAGATTACCATAGCTGTGTTGAAAAAAATTACCATAGCTGTAAAATCAAATCTGGTTTTTCTTACAAATCTAACTTCAGAAAGATTACCCAATCTACACAGATTTCTAATATTATTTTTTCAAATATGGAAAAAGCCAAATAGAAATGTTAATATATATATATATATATATATATTCTGAAAGATTTGGCGGTTTTGGGGTTGTAGATCAAGGTTTTGGGTTAGACATGGTTTCAAGTGTTGGGAATTTTATGGGTTCTATTAAGAATAAGAAACTTTCTCTCCCCCCAAACACACCAATTCTCACAAATTACAAGCTTCCAAACCCTCAAATTACAACCCACCGCAGCAATGTCAACAACAGCAGCCACCACTTGAATGCTCAAATGTGAAGCCTCAGATTTTCAATCCACCATTGCTAATCAATCACCACCAAGCTCACCATACCCAAAACCATGACTTGGGCACTGAGAACCGACTCTGAGAGAGAGAGAGAGAGAGAGAGAGAGAGAGAGAGAGAGAGTTATGAAATCCCACATGAAACGGAAAATTGGAGGGATTTCAAATCGCATTAAATAAAGAGTACAAATAGGCAGGAAACAATAATCATTCCTCACCATGTCTTTTCTGATGCCAGTATCGAAAGGGCACGTTCGATGCATTCCCATATTCCGAAGCGCCTCAAATATCAAAATGAAAGGTGAATTAATCTCTCGCCGACCAAGTATGCCGACCACTCGAAATCATGAGGAGCCGAATACTCAGAGGGCAATTGTGGAAGTCGAAAATATGACAAAAGCCAAGAGCAAACTCGGCCCAACCAAGTCCAATCCAGCTCGGCCCAATTCCAGATCGGCCTACTGGGCCAATATATTAGGCTGAGTAAAGACCGAATAAACATCACTGGAGAAAATGGTTGTCGAGTTACGAATATCCTCTCTAGGTGACATAGCCGAGTAATTTATATAAATCGGCATTAACCCATTGAGTGAGCCGACATCTTTCATAGAGCGAAATGGGGAAGTGGGCCCTGACAAAGAAAGTAATGAGGGCATACATTGTATGGAATAGAAACCCAAATGAGAGACTCTATAAAAGAGTGAGGGGTTATGTTCTTATAACTCTCTTATTTAACACAAAAGCAATAGACTCACCTCTAAAAAAAATTAACTAGCCCGTCGAAATACTAATTCTGACACTCCCGACCAAAGCTGTTCTTCTGTTTCAGGTAACATTAAAAGGAGTTTTCAAGGACTTGTTTGACAGAAGGAGTATCTCAAATTCACCTCCCCACAGTTATAATCAAAGACTTTTTTGATCATAATAATAATGACATAACTAACATCACAATAAATCATAATAAATATTATAATATAAATAACCGAATTATAATAAAATCTACTGCCACCATAATAAATCGTAATTAAAAAATACAAACATGACAAATGATATACCCTAAAAGAGAACGTGTATCATAGGGCTGAGCAAGGAATCCGTGAAATCCGTAATCCGATCCAGTCCAGTCCAATCCGATAGGTTTGGATTGGTTTTTTGAATCCGTGGTTCGGTTCCGGATTGAAGAATTAAAAATCCGTAGTCCACGGATTGGTTCCGGATTGAACCCCATGGTTCCGGATTGGAACCGGTCCGGACCGTATACAAATAGTCTATATTTTTATTATACATCCTTACCCATAGTATTTTCGCTTATTCCATATAAAACCTAAACTCAAACCTAAACCCGTTTAATATCTTCTTTTATTACTTTTGTTTGTTAGTTTTTAGTTTTAACTTGTAATGGTCTAAATAATTATGGTGAAACTAATTTTCTTATGGTTGTTTAAATTCTATAATAGTATGTCGCTATTATAAAGACATATTGCTATTGTGGAACTAATATAGTGCTATGTTTATATTTTTATGAAATTAAAGTGTTATATATATATTTTTTTATTATTTAATTATGTGAATCCGTGGTCCTAAACCGATCCAATCCGTATTTAAATGGATTGGTTCGGATTGGTTCCATGATTTAAACGGATTGGATTGGTTCTAATTTTTCAGGAACCGTAAATAACGGATTGGTCCTGGTTTTACACCAATCCGGTCCAATCCGGACCATGCTCACCCCTAGTGTATCACAGAACTTTCCAATTATTTATTTACTTTATTGGCAAATACTCCACCAAGAGGCGGCAATGTAGGTGTGCTCGCTGGGAGATTTTTTTTTTTTTAGGTAGTATTACATGTATCAATTAATATACATATTAGTCTATTAACTATTATTATGCTATTATTACTAACCCCTCCTATTATACAAATTATAAATACTTAAAACGTTTAAAATTATGTCACACTATCTCTTAGTACACTATTAGTACATATAATATTATTCTTTCTTTTTTTTATAATGTTAAACTGCGATCAGCCTTCACCCCTACACTCTTGCCTTCAACTTTTTCCTGCACTTTATATAAGATTAAGACACGTGGCATCTAACAGATCCAACCATTCCAGAATAAAACACGTCATGCATATCTCCTTGACAGAAAAAAAAAAAAAAAAAAATGTGGTTTGAGAATTGTTTTTATTTAAACGGAAAATTTCAGAAAGGCAAGATTAATTTTTTTAGTTTTCGTATTTTTTTATTTTTAGTGAATATTTTTAACATTTTTAACATTTTTTTTACTTTTTTAGATGCACCTTACTTAGATGTATCTAAAAAGTAAAAAATATTTTAAAAAATATTTTAAAAAATTAATAAGTACATAAAAATATAAAAAATGTACATAATTTTGGTATTTTTTTGTATTTTTAGTATTTAGTGAATTTTTAAAAGGTTTTTTTTATAAATTTTTTACTTTTTAGATATAATTATGTTAGGCATGTCTAAAAAATAAAAATAAAAATTTTAAAATATTTAAAAAATTCAATAAAAACAAAAAAATACAAAAAATAAGAAACAGTTTTTAGAAAAATGGAACCAAGCATAGTCGTTTGAGGGAGCCGCTGTTTCTCACTCCTCCTGACTTCTCTCTTTCTCACTCTCTGTCTATAGACCCATCAGATTTGGGTTCCCTTTCCATCAACGAATCCCGACGATGGCTCTCCGGCGATGGCCCTTTGTATCCATCATCTGATGAGTTTTGTTTTGCGACCCTAAATCCCTAAATCCCCTTCATTGACAAAGAAAGAAAAGGACAGAATCTATTTATTATTTTTTATGGAATAAATAATCATACATTTGTTTTAATTAAGGTTTTGTGTTGGTTTGATTAAGGTTTTTGGGGAAAACATATTTCTTCTTTGTTTACCCAAACACATGTGAATGATTTTCTGCATTGCAAGTGTTTGGTAAAATGCTTCAATGAATTTTTTATTTATTTTTTAACTAATTAGATACATGTGAAGTTCGGATCATACTGTGATGAATGCTAAATAGCTCTTGTGATGGTGTATTTCACAAACTTTAGTGACTATTTTCACCCCTAGAATAGTATTACTTAGGAAGTAGATGTGTTTGGTTAATATATTTTAAATTCTGATTACATTTATGCACATGTATATTTTTGGGGTCTTTAGGATTTGTGAAAATTAGTGATATGTTAAATATGTATTATTTTATAGTGATATACTTTGTTATGGGGTCTCCTTTTCCAAAATCGAAGTTGCAAAAAAAAAAAAAAAGCAAACAAAAAGCATATATTAAGATATCAGATTCAGAGAAAAATCCAGGGAGGCTTTAGTGTGCAAATGACGTGTGCAACTACTTTGCGTGGTGAGTGCTTGCAAACCAACATGGAGCAGCTTGAGGCAAACTAAGAAGCTACGAAATTATTTTTGATGACAAGCATAGTGGGTACTGATTTTAGCATTACTTTAATGCTTAAGTGATTGTTGCATGCTTGTACATTTGGTTTTGGAATGCACATGTTTTGTAAACGGTTAATGAATTAATGAAATAGATTGTGTTTGGTTTTGTTTTTGTTTGTGATTCTGCTATCATTTGTGAATTGATATGAGGGGGAAAAGTGAGTGAAGGTAGAAGGAATTTTTTTTTTTTTTTAATCTCAAATTTCACAACAATTTAATGTACACCCTGCTCGGCATGGTTGAGAAGCTATTTATTCACTACGTGGTCAGA